GAGCTGAGAAGGGCAGGTGGTGAGCTGGGGATAGGTAGATTCCTGGAGCTCTGTGGCCCGCCAGTCTAGCCTTCTTGGTGTGTTCTTGGCCATGGAGACCTCATCTCAAAAAACCAAGGAGTTTCTTGGACATACCTAATCTTTTCCTTGTGCATTTATTATAATTTAATACCTCAAAGTAGGCAGAGATTAAATAATGGATTCTACTATAGATTATCAGGAATACCAGGATATGTGCTTTTTTTTTTTTTAAGTTTTTGGTTTTTCGAGGCAGGGTTTCTCTGTATTGTTTTGGAGGCTGTCCTGGAACTCGTTTGGTAGACCAGGCTGGTCTCGAACTCACAGAGATCCGCCTGCCTCTGCCTCCCGAGTGTTGGGATTAAAGGCGTGCGCCACTACTGCCCAACCACTTGTCTGTGATCTTAACATTGGGGAGGCTGAAGTAGGAGGATGGTGAGTTTAAGACTAACCTGTGCTACATGAGTAGTTCTAAGCCAACTTGAACTATATTGCATGACCCTGTTTCAGAAAACAATAAAGTAAGACTCAAACAATAACGACCAAATAATTCAGCTGCAGCTAGAGTTGACAGCAAAACAAGGACCATGTGGAGCTGAGGGAATACGGAATTGATGAGGGGGCAAGCATCAGAGTCTATAGTAGGACTGGGAACTGTGGCAAGCACACTGTGGGCAGGTAACCTGGAGATGGAAGCCATGCTGCAGAATGCTGTGGGAGGCCCAGTGGGGTCCTGGATAAATCATAGGCCTCTGGAGTTGGATGTCTGGATTTAAACCTGGCTCTGCTGTCTACTGGGTATGATCTTGGGCAAGTCATTTAAGTTCTCTATCCTCAGTTTTCTCAACTGTGAAATGGAAAGATACTGTTGTAAGGGTTGGTTTGGTAAAGCCATTGGGCAAATACCAATGTATTGTCAATAAATATTTCCTGAGATGTTTGGAGACTGAGTGTAGAGGCATAGATTTCCTCAAGGCAGGTCTACTGTGAACCAGAGAGGAGGTAAGGCATTCTGGCCAAAACAGACCCTGACCCAGGGATTCCTGGGGTAGGGTATGTTGAGAGTGGGAGGCCAGAGAGAGGATTGCCTCCTGGAAGCCTGGTAGGAGGATGCTAGGTCTCCCTGACATGAGCTGTACACCTTTTCTAGCTCTTCTGTCCCTTCAATGTCCCCAGCCTACTCCTGAAGTTACCCTGGGTCAGAGGACCCTGCCTTCTGACTCCTCGTGTCCCTTTCTCTCCAGGCACCTGGAGACCCCGCAGATCCATCATCTTCGCCAGCTGGGGGGCGGAGGAATTCGGGCTCATCGGCTCTACGGAATTCACAGAGGTGAGTGAGCCCCACAAAAGCATGGGTGGGAGGGTTCCCTGGATGGGGTGGTAATGGACTGAGGTGTTCCCCCACTCTGTAGGAGTTCCTCAGCAAGTTACAGGAGCGCACGGTGGCCTACATCAATGTGGACATCTCTGTGTTTGGTATGGGAGGTTCTGTCAGCTTGGAGTGGGCTGGAAAAGGAAGGAGCTGGATCCAAACAGGTCTCCTTGCTTCCTCCCACAGCCAATGCTACCCTCCGGGCACAGGGGACACCCCCTGTACAAAGTGTGATCTTTTCTGCCGCCAAAGAGGTACAAGGGGTTGTGGTGGACCTATGTGGTGTGGGGCCTAGGGATTGCAGTGGATCTGGAGATTAGGGTCTGGTAGAGGCTGGGTTTCCTGAGCTGTCAGATGTTCCTCTCTGTACCAGATCAGTGCACCAGGTCCCAGTGGCCTCAGTATCTATGACAACTGGATCCGATACACCAACCGCAGTAGTCCAGTGTATGGCGTTGTCCCCAGGTGAGCCCAGAAACCAGAAAGGCAGGACCACAGGCTCAGCATGTCCACCCAGCACCCTCCAAATGCTGTTCTCCCCCCTCTTCTAGCATGGGCACACTGGGTGCAGGCAGTGACTATGCCTCATTCATTCACTTCCTGGGCATCTCTTCCATGGACCTTGCCTACACCTATGACCGGGTGAGCAGTCTTCCACACCACTCCCCTCCCAGTACTGTTGCATCAAATCTCAGGGCGGGGGTCTGGTATAGACTGGCTCTGGCTCATTCACTAAGCAGCTGTGTGTCTTAGTTTTGTTTGCTGTTTTTGTGACTGACACCCTGACAAAAAAACGACTTTGAGGAAGATGGGTTTTTTCAGCTCACAAGTCTAGGTCACAGTCCATTATAGCAGGAAGCCATAGCAGCAGGAGCTCCAGAGAACACATTGCATTCACAGTGAAGGACAGAAAGCAGTGAGTGAATGTATGATTACTAGTGCTCAGTTCAATTTCTCCATTCTTGCCTTAGGGAATGGTGCTACCCAGTATGGTCCTCCCAACTCAATGACTGTAATCAAGATAGACTTTCACAGACACACCCACAGGCCATCCTGATCTAGATAGTTCCTGAAACTCTTCCCAAGTGATTCCAGATTGTGTCAAGTTGACAATGAAAACTAGTCATTAACCCTGGATAACACAAGTCAACTATATTAGGGTTTTTAATTCTGTGAAGAGACACCATGACCACAACAATTTTATAAAGGAAAACATCTAATTGGGGTGGTTTACAGTTTCAGGGGTTTAGTCTGTTATCATCATGGTAGGACATGGTGGCATGCAGGCAGACGGTGTTGGAGAAGGAGTTAAGAGTTCTATACCTTGATCCTCAGGCAACAGGAAGTGAACTGTGTCTTGAGCATAGAAGACTTCAAAGACCACCTCCACAGTGATATTTCTCCAACAAGGCCACACCTCCTAATAGTGCTTATTGGGGCCAATTGCACTTAAGCTACCACACCAACTTTCTTAAATTCTCTGAGCTTCGAGGCCGGGCTGGACCGATAGCCTCCAAAACAATACAGAGAAAACAAAACAAAAACAAAAAAAATCCTCTGAGCATGTTTATACTCATCAGACATTTGTATTGTTTCACCATGCCTTACTGAGGAGGAAGAAAAAAACTGTTGTCAATCAGTTGTAGGATGGCAGTAATAAGCAGAATTGAGTTTGGAAATGCTTTTGTGGGTATCAGCACTAATCAAGTAATGTTAGAGAAGTAAGAGGATTCATACATTATTGTGAGGTGTGGGAGTTGAGGTGGGGGCTGTAACTCCTCTGACCTGCTTGTACCTCTTTTTTTTTTCAAGACAGGATTTCTCTGTATTGTTTGGGGACTGTCCTGGAACTCACTCTGTAGACCAGGCTGGCTTTGAACTCACAGAGATCTGCCTGCCTCTGTCTCCCCAGTGCTGGGATTAAAGGGCTGTGTGTGCCGCCACCACCACCCAGCTGGCCTGCACCTCTTGAGTGGATGCCTTAAGGCCCTTTCTTCCCCTGGCTATGCTGCCCTTGGGTAGTGGAGCTGGGATCCCTGTATCTGACTCCACAGCCCTAAGCTCTTCCTCTGCCCTATCTGGGAGATACCAGCCTCAATTCCTCCTCTTTAAGTGGAAATTCTGAAGCTCACATGCCGTGCTAACACAGTTTACAGGGTGTGGCTGACTGTGGGCACACAGATTTCCTACCTCAAGCCTTGCCCCTCTTCCTTATTCCTCTAGAGCAAGACCTCAGCCAGGATCTACCCTGCCTACCACACGGCTTTTGACACGTTTGATTACATGGAGAAGTTTCTGGACCCTGGTGAGGAAGGGACACTGATACTCTGAGGAGGACAGAAGGATGGGCTGAAGATGCAGTCCTGGCCTTGTGTCCCCTCCACAGGTTTCAGCAGTCACCAAGCTGTGGCCCGGACAGCTGGGAGTGTGCTTCTAAGACTCAGTGACAGCCTCTTCCTGCCCCTCAATGTCAGTGACTACAGTGAGACACTACGCAGCTTCCTGCAGGTTGCCCAAGAGAAACTCGGCACCCTATTACAGCAGCATAATATCAGCCTGGGTATGCACACCCCAACACAGAAGTTCCAGGAACCCTGTATCCCCAGGCAGGACTAAGCTAGATGTTTCCTACCCAGGTCCCCTGGTGACGGCAGTGGAGAAGTTTGAGACAGCGGCTGCAGCTTTAGGCCAGCGCATCTCAACTCTGCAGAAGAATAGCCCTGAGTGAGCAGGGGCGTGGGCAGGTGTCAGGAAGGGGGCCCTAAGGGCACACATCAAGCCAGCGACTGAACTGCTAGGTTGCAGGGTGACCCATATGCCTTCCAGTCCCTTGCAGGTACGGATGGTCAATGACCAGCTAATGCTCTTGGAACGGGCATTCCTGAACCCAAGGGCTTTCCCAGAGGAGCGATACTACAGGTGAGCCTATGCTAAAGCTCCTGGGAGGTGGGGTGGAGCAATGATCCCCACCCAAAGAGGTGCCTTCACTGCCCAATCCATCCACCAATGGTTGGGAATGAGGCTCTCCATACACGTCTAAGCCCTTGTTTTCAGAGACCAGACCATGGGAACAGTGTGGAGTTAGTTCCAGGCTAACCCCTCAATAACCGTCAGCTTGCTATTTCTCCCCAGTCACGTGCTCTGGGCACCCAACACGGCCTCTGCTGCCACGTTCCCAGGTCTGGCCAACGCTTGTGCCAGGGCCCAGAATGCCAACTCTGGATCTGAAGCTTGGGCTGAAGTACAGAGGCAGCTTAGCATTGTAGTCACGGCCCTGGAGGGTGCAGCAGCCACCCTGAAACCTGTGCATGACCTCTGACCCTAGCACTGTCTCTTGGCTTTTCATTTCCCTTGCACCTCTCATACCTGTTTCTATGGGAATGTCCCTAGTCTTTTCTGAGGTCAGGAGTAGATGCAACCAGGAACCGCTCTCAAGCTTTTGAGGCAATAGCTGGGGGTTCTTGGAATTAAAGACACCTGATAATGGTAGTAAGTGAAATTTGGGCCCAAAGAAGAGTGTAGAGACCATTGCCCAACCTTGTTTCTTCTCGTCCTGCTCTTCAATGTTCTATCTCCCCTCTTAGCCCTCAAATAAACTAAGTCTAGCAAGTTCCTGTAAAATGAGTCAATTTTATTATTATTTGGGAATCATGAAAAAGAGCCCCAGGTACTTTGGTCCAGTCCTTGGACAACCCTCTCAAGCTGGAGATCCAGGTCTGTGCATGTCCTTGTCTTCTTCTGCCATGACCACCTCCTCCAGGGTATGTCCCTGCAGCTTGTTTCCCACTAATATGTGGCAGGTACCAGGGGGCGGGAGTCCTTCCTCAGAGTAGCGACCTCTCAGGAATACAACTCTGTCTTTATCTAAGGTCAGTCCATGGGCCTGACATAGGTCCTGGGCTTCGTGGAGTCCATCCAGGGCCAGAAGGTGTACTATGAAGTCCAAAGGCAAGGTCTGTCCTTTAGGAGTGCTCAGGGCACGAGCCAGACAGGCCAGGGCTTTGCGGCGGGCATAGCCAATGTGTCCCTGTACCGCGCAGCTCTGTAGGTAGGGCAGGGTTCGAAGCAGGCGAAACAGCCGGGCATGGTTGCCTTCACGGAAGGCAGCGTCAACAGCCAGAGCAGTCTGAAGGGGTGGGCAGGTACGAAGGGTGGCTGGCAGCTGTAGAACCTCCTGCAGGGCTTCCACAGAGCCTGAAGGCAAGAAGCAGAAGCAAGAATGCTTAGTATTTTCTAGATCAGGCCTACCCCAAATGCCATCCCCTCCAGATCATTTCCAGAACTGCCAACTCCAGTCATGTCCCAGCCAGGTGCTCTCTCCTTCCAACCAAGACCCAGCCATCAGCAAACCCTCCTCTGATCTATTTGAGGTGCTGCAAGACCACACCTTCTTCAGTCTGAACCCTTACAGAGGAGAATGGACTTTACATTTACAGATGAGGACACAGGCTAACTATTTCTGTGACAACACCAGGACTAAAAGCAAGTTGGGGAAGAAAGGGTTTATGTGGCTTACACTTCAGCATTGCTGTTCATCACTGAGGAAAACCAGGACAGAAAACTCGAGCAGGGCAGGATCCTAAAAGCAGGAGCTGATACTGAGGCCATGGAGGGGTGGTGTGTTTACTCCCTTGCTCAGACTGCTTTCTTTTTTTTTTTCTGTTTTTCTCTGTGCGGGTAGCCCTGGCTCTCCTGGAACTAACTATCCACCTACGTTTGCCTCTATCCCACCCTCCCCAGTCAGTGTGGCTGGGATTAAAGGGTGTGGGCCCCCAGCTGCTCAGCTCTTTTTTTTTGAGACAGGGTTTCTCTGCATAGCTTTGGCGCCTGTCTCTGCCTCCTGAGTACCGGGATTAAAAGCAGGTATATGCCACCACTGCCCAGTTTCAGTCTACTCTTCTTATAGAACCCAGGACCACCAGCCCAGAGATGGCACCACCCACAGTGGGCTGGGCCCTCCTCCACTGATCATAATTGAGAAAATAAATGCTTTACAGCTGGGTCTCAGGGAGGAATGTCCTCAATTGAGGCTCCTCTCTGATGACTCTGGCTGTGTATATTGACACACAAAAGCAGCCAGTACACAGGCCAAAACAAAGGCTTGCCTGAGGCTGTCCTACAGCTCAGGCTAATCCTGCTAGGCCCAAACCTACACTTTCTGATTTGGGTTTCCCACTGTCTAGGCTGCAGTATCAAAAGGATTTTGGGCTAGGCAGTGGTAGCTCACACCTTTAATCCCAGCACTCCAGAGGCAGAGGAAGGCGGATCTCTGAGTTCGAGGCTAATGTCTGGTCTACAGAGTCAGTTCACAGAGAAACCCTGTCTTGAACCCCCCCCCCCAAAAAAAGGAAAAATAGAAAGATTTTGGGTGTTGGTTTCATCACACTATCTGGAAAGGTTGGTTTTTTTTTTTTTTTTTTTCCGAGACAGAGTTTCTTTGTATTGTTTTGGAGGCTGTCCTGGAACTCACTCTGTAGACCAGGCTGGCCTCGAACTCACAGAGATCTGCCTGCCTCTGCCTCCCGAGTGCTGGGATTAAAGGCGTGCGCCACCAATGCCCGGCTGGAAAGGTTATTTTTTAGGTAGACTTCCTTTCCAGGAAATCTTGACTACTGGAATCTTGGACCACTTTTGTAAATTAGTGAGTTTAAGAGTCACACTGGGAACAGGAGAGATGGCTCAGCAGTTAAGAGCACTGGCTGTTCTTCCAGAGGACCAGGGTTCAATTCCCAGCACCTACATGGCATCTCACTACTTTTGTAACTACAGTTTCAAGAGATCTGACACCCTCACACAAACAAAACACCAATGCACATAAAATAAAAAAAATTGAAATCTGCCTGCCTCTGAGTTGGAATTAAAGGCACTTGTCATCACGCACATCTTTCTTTTGGGGGGTGTTTTGAAACAGGGTCTCTTTGTATTGCTTTGGAGGTTGTCCTGGCACTTGCCCTGTAGACCAGGCTGGCCTCGAACTCAGAGATCCACCTGCCTCTGCCTCCCAAGTGCTGGGATTAATGGCGTGTGCCACCAACGCCCGGCTGCCCCTGTTTCTTTTGATAAATAAATCACCCACAGAAAGGACTTTTTAGCAACTTCTGTCATATTTATTCATAGGCCAGCCTACTGAGTGGTTTTAAAAGTTTGGAAAGCGTTATCTAGCTCAACTCTCTATTTCTATCCCACCTCCCTCCACCTCTATTATGGAGAAGCCCAGTTTGGAAATGACAGGTGGGAGGTTCCAAAAATCGGGAGCCATTGCTGAGTGATGGAAGTTGCCGTATCCCTAAGCTACACTTCGCCGCTGATGCCAGAATTGCTTCTCCCCCAAGATCCTCAGGTCCCCACGCTCTGCTCTGTGGGACTCGACTTACCCAAATTGTAGAGCAGAAAGAGGCCCTGGAAGGCGGCTTGGCGGGGGTGCGGGGCCCCGCCCCGCGCGTAGCAGCGCCGCAGCGAACCGAAGCCCTCCTGCACCTGCGTCTGCAGCAGCACGGGGTCCGCGGCTCCGCACGCCTCTTCGGGTGGCAGCCGCGCCACCACTGCCAGCAGCGTGGCCAGAGCGGCTTCCAGCACCGCCGCTGCTTCCGCGTCGTCCACGCCCTGCAGCGACAGATCAAGCCGCACAGCGCGCAGGCGGTCCGCCACGAAGCCCGCTACCTCAGCGCACGACGCGTCGGCGCGGCCGGCCACCTCACCGGCCAGGTAGCGCACGGTGGCCAGGAGTACTGGGGGCGGCCGCAGCAGGCTGGGCGGGGGCCGGGGCTTGCCCGCCGCCGGCCGGCTGTACTCCTTCACGGCTCGCCGCGGGTCGGCTCGGGGCGCGTTCCCACAGCTGCCCGGCTCCACCTCCAGTCGGTGCAGGCGTCGCTCGCGCTCGCGTCGGGCGCGCTCGGCGGCCGGGCACATGTCTGGGCACAGACCCTTCGGCAGCTCGCAGCCGGACATGGCAGGACTGTGGGTAGACGGCGCACACTCAGCATCTCGGGGCCAGCGGACACGCGGCATTGCATCCTGCCATGGGATCAGGAAACGCGCGTGGGGCCCAGTTTGGCGGGCCCGCTCCCGCGGGCTTCAGAAACGCCTCCCATAATCCACCGCGCCTGGCCTCGGCCTTTCCCGTTAAGCCGTCCCATGATGCACCGGCATGCAGTCCAGCGGTGAGGCCACACCTCCCTAGGTCTTCCGGGGTTTAGTGAATTTTACTTTTTGTATTTGGGGCTGTCGAAATAGATAACCCTGCTTTGCGTATCTCTCCATTATCTCTTTAACACACTAAACTAGTGCCGTGGGCCTGTCATTCTTTATTGTTTCCTTAGAGATAGCCTCCCTAAGCGTATTGTTTTGAGACAGGTTCTCACCAAGTAGCTCTATCTGGCTGACCTTGAACTCAATAGAGATCCTCCTGCCTCTGCCTTTTTTGTTTGTTTTCGAGACAGGGTTTCTCTGTGGCTTTGGAGGCTATCCTGGAACTAGCTCTTTGTAGAGCAGGCTGGTCTCAAATCAGAGATCCGCCTGCCTCTGCCTCCCGAGTGCTGGGATTAAAGGCGTGCGCCACCAACTCCCGGCTCAGACACACCTTTTATTCAACTCAGTACAATGTAAACTCAACCTTAGACAGCAGTAATCACACGGACCTGGTTGTGTTCTGACTTGTTTTTATTCACACACATTTCAATTATATAAATTTTTTACTGGTCAAAAAATCATTTTCCTTCCAACCATTAGCAAAAACAAAACAAAAAACCCTTGTAGCTTGAGGGTCTTACAAAAGAAGGCAGTGGACCAGGTCTGGCCACAGACCACCAGCTGCAGACCCTCGTTCTAGATGGGTGAACTGACATAAAACAGACAGGCGGGACCAGAAGTTCAAGTCTGATTCCAAGAGGGCAGGCAGGATGGAGCTGAGAAGTCTGCGTTTCTCGTACTTGGTCCAGTTAAAACAGATATGGCCTCTGGGGTTCCCAAAGCAGGACACAGGCCAGGTCCCGAGGAAAGGAGTGGAGGAGGCTGGCAGTGCTGGAGCTCAAGTCCCAGGAAGGGTCCACCCCTCAAGGCAATTGCCCGTGGAGGGCCTCTGCCCGCCTCAGGTACTCAGCTGCCTTCTTTTTCACCCCTTCCCTGCGGGCAGGGGATGGGTCACCTGTAGAGGGCAGAGGCCCAGTTTCCTTCAGAGCCCTGGCCTAAATGTGCCTTTCCCTGGGTCCCAGTGTCTTTCCCCATTCTATGAGGCTATTCAAAAATTAAAGACAATTCTGCCCAAGGTCTCTGGTTGACCTGTGACAAATGAAGGCTCTGGTTCTTCTTTTTTTCTTTAAATACTTCGTGTGTGTGTGTGTGTGTGTGTGTGTGTGTGTGTGTGTGTGTGTGTGTGTGTGTGTGTGTGTGGTCAACCTCAGATGTAGGTCTGAGACCAGGTCTCTGTTGTTCCCTGCTGCATATGTCAGGCTCGACAGCCCTGGGGATTTTCCTGTCTCTGCCTCCCATCTTGCCATAGGAACACTTGGCTTCCTAAGTGTGCTGTTGCATGCCACTGGGTGCGGGTTCTGGGCATTCTAATTCAGTTCCTCATGCTTGCACGGCAAAGCGCCTTACACACTGTGCCATGTCCCAGCCCCTCTGCTTTTCACTTGCCGGTATTCCTAACTGCAGTACTCACCCGAGACTCCCTGAAGCAGAGTGTGCACTCCATCTCGGTAGCCTTGCAGCGCAGCAGCATAGGCCCCAGCCTTTTCATTCCAAAGGGCTTGCGTGATGAGCTCTGTGGCCTGGCTCAGATAAGCCGGGGCAGGTTCTCCAACCTCAGACTCTTCCTTCTCCTGTCCTCCTGGCTCCCAGGGCTGCTGGTCCAGTCTTCTGGATTGTACCTCCATGGCTGCCAGCTCACCAGTGTGGGTGGGGCTGGGGCCTGTACTTTCTGTAATAAAACAGGGAGGATTCAGGCCAGACTAGCCTTCTTTTCCAGGGTATGTTGTCCACCCCAGAACACCAAATTGTCCCCACTGGAGGGGAACAGAGCCTGCAAAACCCTAAATTCACTTGAATAGAGCAAATCTGTTGTGTTCTGCTTGCTTGGTTTGGCTCAGGAGCTTTCTGTAAAGGCTTAGTTTATTATTGCTGTTGCACACATGAGAGAGTAAAGGTATGAGTGTGCCGTGATACCCATGTAGAGGCCAGAGGACTCGTGTTGGGAGTTTTTTTCTTTTTTAAACCTAGGTGGATTTTGGGGCTGGAACTCGGGTTGCCAGGCTCACAAGGCAGTGCTTTCATCCCCTGAGACACCTTACTGGCCCCAAGGCCTTGAACCTCTGGTCTTTGTGCCTCTGCCTCTCTAGTGCTGGGATATAGCCATGCATCACTTTACCTTTTTTGTTTGTCTTATTAAAGGCAGGGTCTCACTCTGTGGGCCTGGTTATTCTGTAATTTGCTGTGTAAACTAGGCTGATCTAGAATTCACAGATCTGCCTGCCTCTGACTCCCTGAGTGCTGGAATCAAAGCACTGGATATGCCACCATATCCAGCTTTCCCATTAAAAAAAAAAAAAAGTGTGTGTGTGTGTGTGTAGGCTGAAGGGCAACTTGCCAGAATGTGTTCTGTCCTTCTACCATATGAATCCAAGTCATTAGACTCATTGGCTAGTACTTTTATCCAGAGAGTCATCTTAAAGGTCCTTATTTTTGTTTGAAATAAAAGTTGAGTGGTGGTGGCACACTCTGTTGATCCCAGCACTCAAGAGGCAGAGGCATCTGGATTTCTGTGAGTTTGAAATCAGCCTGGTTGACAGAGAAACCCTGTACAGCAGCACTAGAAATTGAACCCAGGCCTCCATGCACGCCAACCAAGCACTCTATCAACCAAGCCAAGTCCCCAGTGCGGTCAGCAACTCTCACACCCTAGTTGCAGTTACAGCATGAAGTCAGTGAATTTTAGAATAGACTAATCTTCAGTGTCTCTTTGCTAGGGATTTGCAAGTAGAAGTTCAGTACCCTGACCTGTGTGGGGACCCTGCCTGACTCTGATGGTCCCCAGGTCACCAGTTCTGGTGCCTACTGCTCTTCAGTCCAGACCTTGCCCCTTTGACTGGGGCAAGGTCCCATTTTCTATTTGTTTAGTTTTGTTTTTGAGATTATGTAGCCCTCACTGACCTCGACTGTTATGTAGACCATTCCAGCTTCAAATTCATAAAGATCCTCCTGCCTCTGCTTCTGCCTCTTGAGTGCTGGGATTCAAGGGTGTGTCACCAGGGCCAGTCACAGCAGGTCCATGAACAATATGACACTATGATGCTGTGATACCCAGAGTCTTTTCAGAGAGGAGGGCTCAACTCCTTCCTCCACAACAGCTCAGTGCTGCTCATGGCCATGGAGGCTGCCAGCCTGGCTTCAGAGTAGCAGTGCCAAAGGGTTTACACAGATGGCATTACTCCCTGCCCTTAGCTCCTCTTGCCCCACGCCTGCTCCTTACCCTCTTTGGAGTAAGGGTCGAAAAGAGCAAGTTCAGCCTCAGAGAGGGGACCTCGGGCTGGTGAGCTGGATGCTTCCTCAGTGCTGTCACAGCTGAAGAGAAGATCCAAGGCCTCCTGGGCAGGGCTGGATGGTAGGGGATCCACTGAGGAGAGACCAGGGGGACATTAATGCCGGCACCTACTGCTTTTCAGCTCTCAAAACAGAATCTCTGTCTTGATTAGTCCTTGCAGAAATCCTGGGTACGGACAAGGTCACTAATAGGTTTGGGCCTGTTTGACAGATTGGCAAACCAAAGCCCAGAAAAGAAAAATGACCTTATTCAAACTTTCACCCCACCCCAGGTGAGTGGTAGAACTGCCCCCTATACTTCTCCCTGAGATTCCTGGGCGAACTCACTCCCTTCCCTGACCCTGATATACCTGGCACATCCAACTCCTCTTGGCCCCTCCTCTCCGCAGGCAGTGGCTGCAGCAGCCGGGCCTCATCAGGAGGTGGTGTAGGAATGAGAGGAGGCGGCAGAATGCACAGGTCCCTGGACACCTCAGAGGGCCGTGTTACCTCCCCACCCTGCAGGAGACAAAGTCCAGCAGGGGACAGGAGTCAGGAATTGAAGCTGCACAGTGGCTGGGGCGGTTGGGCGAGCAGATGAACTCACCCGGAAAAACTCCTTGAGCTGGGGACTGTTGTTGAGTGCCGGGATAGGTACTGTGAAGCGCAGCAAGTCCTCTGCTCCCTTGCGCCTTTCCTCGATCACAGAGGCTTCAAAACGACCTGCAGGCCCCGGGACAGGAGGGCAGCAATGACCACGGGGGCTTCTGGTTCCAAAGCCCACGTTTCCTGATTCTGCCTAAGAAGTGCTACGCAGCCCACCCCCCAATTCTCCCATGAATCTTCTCTGGCTCTTCCTGCAGGCATCACACTCCCTGTTCATTCTTCCTCCAGATGTGCAGTGAGTACCTGCTTCATGCTGGCTTCAGAAGGTTAGTGACAGAAACAAGCTCCCTGTTCTCAAGTGTATTGTAATATAGACAGGAGGAGGCAAGGCATGCTTTGTTTTGTTTTGAAGACAATGTCTCAGCTCTGGCTGGCCTGGAAGTTGCTAGATAGACCTCAAACTCGGAGAGTCTGCTATAAAAACTAGCTTGGTTCTGTCACACATGGTCTCCCTGACTCTCTCCATGTGATGCTCCCTGCCACCTTGGGGGCTCTACCAGCAACAGAGGCATCAGCACATGTTGCCTTTGAATCTTGGACCAGAGCCATATGTCGAAATAAGCCTCTTTTCTGTGTGAGTAAGGCATCTAGTCTGTGGCATTGTGTTACTGCGACACACAAAAGCCCTATTCCTCGCTGAGCCTCATCTTGATGGGAATGGTAATAGCCCAACACATAATAAGCAGGAGGTTGCTCTGAGCTTCAGTTGCCCCATACTTCAATGAGACCATCTCAGGAATCCCATCCAGTTTTCCATAAGTGTCTTCAGGGTGGGGTCCTCATTCACCAGTCCCCACTAGTCCAAGTCCCCTTTGCCTAAATCTACCTGCATACTGGGACCAGAGGTTCAGTCAGATACAATACTCACCAAACACCTGGGCACGGGGGAAAGCTGGAAACTCTTCTAGGCGGCGGAAGAGGTTGCGGTGAGTATAGGCCAAGTCCCCATGCAGCTTACGGAAGTCACTGTATCGCTTCCAGACTACCACCTATGAGGCATGTGAGACTTGACTTGGGCCAGCATGGGTGGAAAGTGGCTTTCCCATGCTCACTATGTCCTAGGGGCTTAGAAGGACAGCACACACCCTCTCTAGCACAGGCCAGGGAAGAAGGCAGGTCCTTGAAGTTACCAACTGTCTCTTACTGATGTTGATCTGTCTATGGGAACAGTCCCCACCTTCCCAGCAGCCTTACCTCTTTGATATCT